TTTTAAGCCCCAAATAATCAAACTGCCATATCACTTGGCAGAACCAACTTCTAGCTTCTAAAGCGTTGTTTCTTATCCTTTCCTTTGCATCTTCCACCACAATGCCGACAATTATGTTATTACTATTTGGAAGTATGATTACTATTTGGAAGAAATGATCCCCTGCGTCAGGTCTTTTCTAAATGACCCTTTTTGACTATTTCACTTTCACCTCTTAAATACAACTGAAGTTTTAACTGAGCACCACCAAGCAAATCCAGCATGACAGACACTCTGTCACCAGGCTATTGCTAATATATTCGTCACTTATGATATTTACTGAGAATTTACAATGAACATTGGTGAATATTCTCCTCACTCTTCTATTGCCATTCTTATGAACATATTGCTACTTCTGAAGAGTTGAACATGAGGAAAAAATTACTGCTTTGCTCTCTTGATGTTAATACTGGATACATATATTTGGGAAAGGGCAGTTGTTATGAAAAGGAAACGTTCAAGGTGAAGGGAGTCAAGTTCCTTTGCTTCAGCAGTATTAACCAAAATAAAACTGTTTTCCTTTTACCTGAATTGACTACACAGTTAGTGTAGTATCTTCCTTAAAAGCACTTTTTAAATGTCTGAAAAAATATTATAGTTCCACACCATTTAAGTATCTAACTTTGATAAGAGGTAGCGATGGTGCTACACCAGACCTAGTTGCCTATCCAACCTGTACAGCAATAAAAATCAAGAAATGAAACATACTTTTCCATATCTTTAGCCAGATTATAAGCTCTAGGCAAACAAAGGACTCTGTTCCCTGGACTTTCCTAGCTTTTGTTGTGCTTTAACTTAGACTAAGAAGAAAAAATGAGATAAATACAACATGGTTTAACCAGAAGTTGTTTACACACAAATAACCACATATTTCTGCTTGATGACAAAGTTATTTTGTACATGGTACAGTTGGCTTAAATTTGATTTTTCTCAATTTCAGTGAAGATATATATATGAGAAAGTATAAGCAAAGCTGAACAATTTGAGGATTAACTGGCAAAATGCAAGGTGGGCATCTGGGCTGGTGTTGTCTGGAATAGAGTTAATTTTCTTCGTAGCAGCTAGTTTGAGGGTGTGTTTGGGATTTGTGCTGAAGTAGTGCTGATAGGACTTACACGGTGTCAAAGACTTTTGTGCTCCTCACCCCAACCCAGCAGTGAGGAGGGTGGGGGTGCACAAGAAATTTGGAGGGGGCACATCCAGGACAGCTGACCCCAACTGACCACAGTGATATACCACATGGTGTCATGCTCAGTATATAAACCTGGGGGAAGAAGATGGAAGGGGGAAACATTCAGTGTGATGTCGTTTGTCTTCCCAAGTCAGTTACATTACGTGTGATGGAGCCCTGCATTCCTGGGGATGGCTGAACACCCGCCTGGCCATGGGAAGCTTGTTTTGCTCTGCTTGTGTGCATGGCTTTTGTTTTCCCTCTTAAGCTGTCTTTAACTCCACCCATGATTTTTGTCCCTTTTATCATTCCAGTTCTCTCCTCCATCCCACCACAGGGGAGTGAACGAGTGGCTCTGTGGGACTGACTTGCTGTTTGGGGTTAAACCATGACAGTAACACAGGAAAAAATTTTATTTAGAGATAGGAATTATGAAGCTGACAGGGGTTAACAGCAAAGGAGATTAAGTTTGGAAATGATCCAGCTGAATACTTACATAAAATAATCAGTGGTCTTGATCACTGTCAAGGAGCGGATCAGAATGGTGATAATTCAAAACACTCAGTAAAGTAATGAAGAATCAGAGCATCGCAAGATAAAAAGGGGGTGATCATCTTTGAAACTATGAATAATAGAAATGGACCAAAATTGAGTCATGCAAAAGGTCATGTACATAGGAACACCAAAAATTTCCGATGTAGATCGGAGCTCAGCAATGCAAATTACTGAGCAAGGCACTGGTGGGTTAACTGATCCCATGGTGACGGAACCATCCACATGATACATCCTCGAAAAGAGCATATTATTAAAGACTGTACCAGAAGAGTTGTTTCCAGTAAAGAACAGGAAGCATTTTTTCCTACCCAAGGTCCTGGTGAAAACTCCCCTGCAATTCTCCATATAATTTGGGTTATCTGTGTGCAACCAAGGCAGGTTCAAATGCAGACAGATGAGGAGCACAGGAAAGAATAAAGCAGTAGAAATAAGACAAAACTAGAAAAGGTTTCCCTACAAATCAAAGAGCGAGAGGGGACATTTTTGCTGCCTATCAGAGCACTGGAGTAATCTTGGAGAGGGGAGAGCAGTTTAAAGTAACAAAAAATTTGAATTAAACAGAAATATTATAAATAGGTTAAGAAATATTTAGTCAGGAAAACAGATGTTTCTAACCATTCAAAGAGTGAAGTTCTGGGAGATCCTTCTAACAAAAACAGAACATAGAGAACTAACGTTGCTAGTAAAACTGGTATGTACTACAGCTTTTAAAAAGATCAACTTATGATAATGATGTGTTATACTGTTTCTAATAGCTGGGGACTAACAGCATGTAGTTCAGGCTTCTAGTTGGATCATTTTTTCATTATCCTACATATGGTAGGGAGTCTACATGCAACTTATAGTTTTTAGATCTACTCACTGGATTAGCACCTCTTCTCACTAGAAAGCATGAGTTGTAACTCTGGAACAGAAACTCTGTAAGGCAGTACATGAGTGCTCTTCACACACTATTTCTATATATTTTTTTGTTAAGTGGTTCACTGAATAAATAAGTTTTTTCCTCTTTTGACAGAGTGACAATAAATGGTTTAAACCTTTTCTTCCAAAATTCATCCTTTATTCTACATCCATCACTAACATGTATGAATATAAAATGACAGTATTTTTTCTGCTCATTTTTATAATTTTAAGAGGCAGCTGTGACATTATATACAACACACTAGATAGCTTAGTTTCTACTATTCTTATATATTCGTACACAATTCACCTATTCCGGTTCTCTCTGAATCAATAAGCATTGTCATTCTTGAGCAAAATTATATCATCTCAAGAAACAAATCCACTTATCCACTTTCTCTTGCTATACATTAACTTTTTTTTTAATTTCATATTGAGTCCAATACTGTGGAAAACAGTGACCCTTATGCTACTAGTGGCAACATAAAAAACAGCTTCATTTTGTATTAAACCCTGTAAGATAAATTTTCAAAGAGTAGATGTTTTCCTATATTATTTAGGTACTTGGAAAAATGCCAACCTAAACAGTATTTTCTACGTAGTATAGGAAATTGGTTATTGTTTCAAAAGCAATGGACTCTTCTGAACTAGATGGTTGTAGTAAGCGTAATATCTTAAGAGGAATAAAAGATTATGTTAGGACTATGCATAATGGGGAAAAACACCTCAGAACAAAACAAAACCATGTAAAGAATAAATAATGACCTAATAGAAAACCATAAATACCTCATGTGGGTTTTTTTATTAGCTGTTAATAATGGCTGCATTACAGAAATGTTTTCCTGATGGAAAACTAACTAAGTGGTATGAAGGCATGTTTACAATAATTTCCTACTGAACTTCATTCATTTTGTTCAAAATCAGACCACGTTTTTGTCTCATGGAAAAAAAAAAAAAAAAAAAAAGGTGGTAATAATTCATTGAAACTGCTAACTCAAGAGAGCCCAATTAAAAGTCTTACAAAGGCAGAAGCATGGATATCTTTCTCCCTTAGGGCAACTAGACAAGATTAACAGTATGCTTTCACTCTTGGGTATTTCTCAGTGTGTTACCTCAAGGATTACAAGACTAATTGTGCATGATCAAGATTTTACATGGGGGAGGTGTGTGGGATTCTTTCTCTCTTGTTTGTTTACAGAGCATGACCTATGGCAAATGACTGAAATTTTATATCAGTACAAGAAAATTACATCTATGGCACCACAATACACAAGTGGCAAATAATCTGTCCCATTCCCTGCACAAACAATGGGGTGTTGTAAACCACACCTTGTGAAGCTTTGTCAAGGAATAGGGAATGGAAGTCTTGTCTTAAATGCAAGTAAAGCACTTTACATGCATTTAGATATTTCCCCCCTACTAGCAAAACAACACAAATATCTCCATGTGTCCTGAACAAATAAGGCAGAACATACATGTTTCTGACTTGTTATGAAGCCCAGAAAGCCAAAACAATGTGATAGTCTATTAAGGCACAATCACTTCCTAATAAAATATATTGTGAACTTCTGGGGAAACAAGACACTCACAATTAAGCACCGATTGTCTAGACAGGCAGCAACATCTATCCCATAAGTAACATTAAAAACATTTCTATGATAATCTACAAATACTTGCTTCCTAAAAGCACTGTGTTCACTCTGCTTCAAGAGCCAAAATTATTTTAATTGCAATGCATTCACTTCCAGTTAAATATAGTCTTCATTTGAAAATTACACGGAAACGCATTAATAGTGAAGAAACACCACATTTTAGGCAAATTTTTCCACTGCCTTCCAAAAACTTTACAAGATACACTTTCTTATGATGTGTTATCTAGGTGGGGAGTAGAAACTCCGAGTAATAGAACAAGCTAAAAAAAAGTTTCAGACAGGAAAGGTGATGGAAGAAGTACAGACTGAGAGATATCACTATCTAAAACAGGCAGGTGGGCAAAGAGACGACTATAAATGAAAACAAACCCGTGAGCATCCATCTCAAAAATGATGCCCATTCATAAATGCAGGTATGAAGTTATCTGCCATGTGCTCAAACCCAGGCTGGCGATGTGCTAGACTTGAGCTGCGCCTAAAAGCAGACACCCACGCCCTCGATGTGGATTTCTGGACAAAGGCAGGCTTTCCCCCTGCTTCCCCGGGCAGCGCCCGCGGCAGGTAGCGCCGCCGGTGGACCTACGCGGATGTCGGAGGGAGCGGGGTCGGGACCCGGCGCGGGCAGCGGTGCCGCCGCTCCCGGCGCAGCCCGGCTTCGGTACCGCGGACAGCTCCGCACTCACCGTCCTCGTTCTCGTCGAAGACGGGCGCCCTGTGGGAGTGGCCGCCCCCCATGTTATTCCGCGGCCGGCTCCGCATCCCCCGCCGCCAGCATCCCGCGGGACGCGCCGGGGCACCCCGGCAACGGGGCAGCTGCCTCCCGGCTCCCAGCCCCGGCCCGGCCGGGGGAGCCTCTGCAGGGCTACCAGTCACCCTGCGACATGGAAGCGATCCGTGTGCCCCTGGCAGAGCCCGCTGCTGGCTGGCGCGCTCCGACTTGGCCCGTGTCTCATCGCGGAGGGGCAGCGAAGGGAGGGAGTTAGAGGAGGAGGGAGGGATGGAGGGGGGGGAGGGAGGAGGCGGAGGTCCTACTGCTGGTGGCTTTTGGTAAGCGGTAAAAGCTGGATCTACCTGGATCCTCGCGGATCCTCCCTCCTCCGCTTTTCCTCCTCCCAGACCTCCCCTAGGGAGCGCGGAGCCCCCGCTCCCGTCCCGACAGAGGGGCCGAGACCCCCGCCCTGCGCTGCCCCGGCGGCGATGCCTGGTGGGGAGCGGGATCGAGGATGGGGAGAGGCGGGGAGGGGCGAGCTCTGCCCTGGGTCCAGATAATGTTTGTTTTGCCTCCTAGCTGGGAGGGGGGTTCATCCCAGGCAGCGCGGTCAGTTGACCGAACTTCACTGAGTTTACAAAGGGGAGGGGGGAGAAGTAAAAGAGAGACATTCTCTCCCGTTTCCTTCCCACCGGGAAGCGCCGGGAGGGCAGCCTGGCCCCGCAGCGCCACCTGCGGGCGGGACGGAGGTGGCCCTGGGTGGGCCCGGCGGGAGGAGGCGGCAGCTTTGGGATCGTCTGGGCGTGCAGTTGGTACAGGTAGATGTGTGTGTGTTTGTATATACACACACAGACACACACATATATATATATTATTTTGAAATTACTCCCCTGTAAAAGTGCATCAGGGAAAACCGCCAGCACCGCTAAGTTATAACACGAATCACCTGCCATACAGGAGCAATGAGGGCTTTCTGAAGTTGCTCTTGGTATTTGTAGACAGAAATAGCTGTCTCACTCTCTTATGAAAACGCTACTGTCAGCAACTTTTGGGGTGAAGTAGAAACAATTACGTTTGAAATTTCCTCCAAAGGAAAAGAGGTAAAAAAAAAAAGGTAATATATCTAAATTATTGTATCCAGGTCAAAGTCTGTGCAGTTCCTGAAGGGCAAACCTGTAGGCAAAAAACAAAACCAACCAACCAACCAAACAAACAAACAAACCCAAAACAGAACAAAAATCAAAAGGAAGTTGCATTTTTGGTTTCTTCACTGTTACAAGGGGAGAAGAGAGAGAAGGAATGGAATCTTGGAGTCAGGGTACATGTGTTTCCATATATACAGGCAGAAAGATTCTCATATTCTTCTGTAATATTTACCCCCCTTTTTTCAGAATAGCTGTTTAGAAAAGCCAAAGAACAAATTCTACATGAAGTAGGAGAGCTTTCAGTCTCTGCTTATGATTTTTACCTGTCCTAGTTACTCTCATTACCTGTCTTTGAACCCAATATAATCCTGCTATAACCTCTCTGGAAAAGGTGGTTAGACTTGAAGGAAGTGGGTAAGATCCTGTGCTGTTTGGCTGAGAGCTTGCAGCACCTACAAACCCAGAGAGCTGATAAATTCAGACATTTTGATGATTTTCCATAAGTAGAGAGGGACAGATTGTATCACCTGCTGATACACCTTACTTAAATCATTTGGTTTACCACTATTTCCATATGAAAGCATTTGCAAAATAGGGAAGCTTTCAAAACTTTTACCCGTGACTGTTCTTCTAAAATGTAGTCTGAGAAGCATTACTTGCTCTTTGTTATTCTTTTGTTTATTACTCACCCATTCAAAGATTTAGTCATCCAGTCAAAAGCAGAAATTATATCATGTTACTAATGTTATGTTCCTTCAGTCAGAAGACAACATTAGTATGTAGAAATCACAGATCTTCAGCTCTCTTTTGGGTTAACAAGCCATTATGGTGCTTTATGTTAATCCATTTTCTTTAGCAGGAGCAAGGAGGACAGCACTTACAGATTAACACATTTCAGCTGATAAGAGTTATCATCTGTCTAAGTTAAGGGCTTATATCACGTCAATCTAATTGCTTCCATTCATGTGAATGTTTTGAAGTGCCCTTCCAAGTAATGGGAAGAAGAACTAGTTTGTCATTACATTCCCAGGCTGATCATTTTACACACAAGAAATAAATCCATAGGATATGGACATGGGATGAATAGGAGCATCTTGGAATTCCTTTGCATGCAGAATATACAGATCCATTAAAAATTACTTAAAACTGTCCCCAAGAGTTATTCTATTTCTTTTTTAGATCTTTCTTCCTTCATATAGACCAAAAGTCTAACTAGTCTTCTGAGGTGATTTTCTTGATTTCAGATGACACCACGAACCAAAACAATTCTAGCAATTTATGGGACAATTGGTTGTCTCCATTAACTAGTCAGTCCTACTAGACCAATGTGTCTTTTTGACTCCTATATAGATTATCACAGTTTTGCAATAAATTTTCCCTTGATTTGTGAAAAATTCTAGCTTATGTTTAAACATCAGCAAACTAGGACATTAAGATAAACAGCACTCTTAGTTAATGTGAGATGTGAAAAATTAACATATAGTAATAAAGTATTGATGTCACTGTTTCGTGATTTATTAATTGATAACATTATAATCCTCTGTAACTCTTTTGCTTTAGTAGTGGCAGACAATATCCTCCACAGTCATTTTCTATAGAAACATAAAAACAATGATGGTTTGACAAGAATTGTTGGGTTTGCTGTTCTGAAGGCAATACAATGTACTAATTGCTACAGTGCCTTTGTTCTGAAGGAAGATTTGTTAATATAATACTCACTTGCTTCCTGGGAGCATCAGCATTTCTATAGTTAAATGAAATGTTGTTTACATAATTGTGTCCAATGGAACAGAGGGCATTAAGCCTAGATGTGTGCTCAAGGCCCAGCAAAGGCTCAGGGAAATCAGTGGCAGTTTTCCAGTCATCATCATGGCTGGGCTTCGCGAACGAAGATTTGAGAGGGGCTCTACCCACGCTTGCTACAAGCGCGCTGATGGCTAAAAAGGCCAATGCCAGATAGACAAGTCCGGTTGCAGAAGGTACAGCAGAAAGACTCCCCAGGTGATATCAACAAGACGCGATTCTTTCTGTGTTGTCTTTTCTCCTCGAGAGTGATCCTCTGTGTGTTCTCAAAAGCAGCAGCAGCGTTAGAGATGGTGTGTCTCCAGGCCTCCCGTTTGGAGGCCAGGGTAGACCAGTGGTGCTGATAAATATGGCCAAGGCTGAGGGATTGTTTCAGGCAGTCCTTGTATCTCCTCTTCGTTTTGGCGGGGAGGCACCGAGACATACATACACGACCTATTAGATCTAAAATATGTCCGCTTTATTGGGATAGCTCAGAGTTTTTATAGCATCTCTACACAGGGTCTTGTGACAAGAAGCATACAATTGGTTAGAGGTCACTGTCCAGTTGTAAACATCCATTACAAATACCTTTATAATTGGACATTAACAGATAACAAGGCAATAGTTTACTTTAACGAACTCCACCTTCTTCTTGGCAATAATTTTTCTTTGTTCTCGAAAAGACACCCGTAGCCATCTTGGGACCTATAACTTATAGTACCTAAAAAGTCTATAAAAGTACCACACACAATATAAATTGCTCACACATTCATTATGTTCCTCCCACATCTTCGGGCCTCCTCTCTTGCAGCAGCCAGTGACAAGTTCCCCATAAAGCACGATCTTGGGGAGGCGATGGTCCTGCATCCTGGAGACGTGCCCTGCCCAGCACAGCTGTGTTCTCAGCAGCATGGCCTCAATGCTCGTGACTGCTGCCTGTTCAAGGACAGACATGTTGGTCACATAGTCAGTCCAGTGGATGTATAGGATTGTATGGAGGCAGCGCTGATGGAAGAGTTCTAAGAGATGCAAGTGGTGGCGGTAAATGACCCATGATTCAGATCCATATAAAAGAGTAGACAGTACGATGGCTCTGTAAACACTGATCTTAGTACTTTTCTTCAGGTGTTTGTTTTGCCACACTCTTTTATGGAGTTTACCAAAAGCACTGTAAGCCTTTGCTAACCTGTTGTCAATTTCAGCATCAATCTTACCGTCTGAGGAGATGATGCTTCCCAGGTAATTAAACTGTTGGACTGATTTGAGCGCTGTTTCACCAATGGTGATATGGGGATGATGAAAGACTTCCTGAGGTGCAGGCTGATACAAAACTTCTGTCTTCTTCAAGCTGACTTCCAGACCACAAAGGGGTATACCCACAGTTTTCCAGTACCTTTGACATGAATAATACCAAGCCTTGAATACATAGGCTGCTTATTTACATGGTCCTGGGTTCCCCTTTGTTCTTTGCAACCCTTAATGCATGCTAAACTCTGAACAGATGCAGTATCATTTTTATTTTTCTTTTTTTCTTCTTTTTTTTTTTTTTTTTTTTTTTTTTTTTTTTTTTTTTTTTTTTTTTTTTTTTT